TTTTCTAACAGAGCAGCTGCATGGGACAGCAAAAGGATGGATCCAAGGCCTGGAACAGCTGTGACAAAGGTGAGTACCCTTTTCCACACAGTGACCCTATTATGTCAACTTCTTCCTATGAAAACACATGTTTTAGGTATAATGCCAGCACCTATCTATCTGGAGCTCTAAGATAGTCCAGAATCCTATAAATCACATGCTCACATCCTCTTCATAGACACCAAACTAAAGCCAACTGTCACCTGCTGCCAGAGTTGAGCTCATTCATTTCTATAAACTCACAATCTAAATCAGTCCTTCATTATTCTTCTCTATATCATGTTACCTATCATCATAAATTTGAAGGCATTAATATCACCCACTTCCGAGTTATTCCTTCCTTCCCAAGAATCCTCTGACTACTATCTGAATCCTAAACTGAGTCTGCAGACTCTCCTCCCCTTGGTCTCTACAGGCTCTTATCCTATTTGCTTCACCCTCTGTATAAACATCATCACTCCTATACAACAACCATCTCACCTTTTCCTTCATTTCCTGCTCTCATTCTTGCTTCTTTGCATCTTCTCTCCATCCTTTTTCTTCTCTGCACTGTCACTACACTCTAGGCTACTCTGACTCAGCAACTTATCCTCATCCACTGTGTTTTTCACAGTCCTGTGATCCTCAGTTTTAAAAACACTGGCTTCATTTTATCTGTCCCTTTCAACTCAAGTTTACATCTTATTTCATTGCACACTCAGTTCAGTTCATTCACTCAGTCGTGTCCAACTCTTTGCGACCCCATGGACTGCAGCAAGCCAGGACTCCCTGTCCATTGCCAACTCCTGGAGTTTACTCAAACTCATGTCCATTGAGTCAGTGATGCCATCCAGCCATCTCATCCTCTGTCATCCCCTTCTCCTCCCACCTTCAATGTTTCCCAGCATCAGGGTCTTTTCAAATGAGTCAGCTCTTCACATCAGGTACCCAAAGTATTGGAGCGTCAGCCTCAGCATCAGTCCTTCCAATGAATATCCAGGACTGATTTCCTTTAGGATGGACTGGTTGGATCTCCTCGCAGTCTAAGGGACTCTCAAGAGCCTTCGCCAACACCACAGTTCAAAAGCACCAATTCTTCGGCGCTCAGCTTTCTTTATAGTCTAACTCTCACATCCATACATGATTACTGGAAAAACCATAGCCTTGACTAGACGGACCTTTGTTGGCAAAGTAATGTCTCTGCTTTTTAATATGCTGTCTAGGTTGGTCATAACTTTTCTTCCAAGGAACAAGTGTCTTTTAATTTCTTGGCTGCAGTCACCATCTGCAGTGATTTTGGAGACCAAGAAAATAAAGTCGGTCACTGTTTCCCCATCTGTTTGCCATGAAGTGATGGGACTGGATGCCATGATCTTAGTTTTCTGAATGTTGAGATTTAAGTCAACTTTTTCACTCTCCTCTTTCACTTTCATCAAGAGGGGCTCTTTAGTTCTTCTTCACTTTGTGCCATAAGGGTGGGGTCACCTGCGTATCTGAGGTTATTGATATTTCTCCTGGCAATCTTGATTCCAGCTTGTGCTTCATCTAGCCCAGCATTTCTCATGATGTACTCTGCATATAAGTTAAATAAGCAGGGTGCCAATATACAGCCTTGACATACTCCTTTCCCTATTTAGAACCAGTCTGTTGTTCCAAGTTCAGTTCTAACTGTTGCTTCCTGACCTGCAAACAGATCTCTCAAGAGGTACACTATCTTTCCTTATTTTCTTTACTTTTTCTTATTCTTCTATTGTTATAAATTTAGCATGGCCTAGGTAGAGTCTGTCTTAAGTGATAAAGTTAGCCAAAAGATGTGGTACTGGGGACTGGGAGGACATGGACCCCATGAAGGAGCAAATCAGCTTAGCTTCTCCAGGGTCACCTTCACACTCCCAAGTGTCTGAGATAAGACAGACCCAGAATCTCATAGGAAAAATGAAGAGGAGACAAGTGGTCACTGTGATTAGGTACAGAGCAGGAACACCAGAAGCTGAGTGTGCCTCCACACAGCAATTCACAAAAGAATAAATATTAATGTCTGATAATGATATGAAAAGATGTTTAGCTTCACTAGGAATCAAGGAAATGCAGACATTTGCCCATTAAATAGGTAACAATTAAAAAGATGAACATTAGCCAGTGCTAGTAAGGGTGTGAGGACACACTCTCAGACAATGTTACAGGTGGGATAAGTTGATAGGTACAAGTTTCTGACAGCAGGGTTTGGCAATGTGTATTTACACTTCAAAGGTATATGGCCTTTGAGTCAGCATCTCCGACTTCAGCCAAAGAAAATAAGTACACAAGGAAACAAAGATATAGCTACCAAGTCATTATTAACCTCTGCCTTGTTTATGACAAGAGGGTAGAGAGAGGATAGGGGGAGCCTGGGAAAAAGAGGCCCACACCTTTGAAGGGGTGAGGGGAGGAGAGAAGCTAAAAGGGGAGGGGAGGAGAGGGGAGCAGGAGTAAACACTGAGGGGAAAGGGAGAGGCTCACAAAGGACCCCATGAGAAAGGAGTGAGGAGAGTACACACGAGGGGGATGTGAGGAAGAAATAAGGAGGAGGCAGAGGATGGGGCAGACGAGGAGAGAGTAACCCCCATGGGGTGCAATCCACTGCCACCACCATACATCCGCATCACACAGGCACAAAGAAACAAAAGTTGAAAGAGGGTTGATGAGGAAGCTCAGGATACATGACAGCAAAAACTGTGTGACCAAGCTTAGCTAGTGACACATAAAGACAAATGCAGCAGAGGGTGACTATAAGAGAACCACGGTTCTCACTAAGGGTGCTATGGTAACTGGTTTAGACTCTATCCTGTGTTTTTCTAAACTGTCAGAAATTTTAATAAGTAATTTCTAGCAACAGGGAATACACTAAAATTCCACAGAGTTGAGACAGACCTTTGTTCTTTCCTGTGGGAATTAACACACATGCAAACAAATTAAGTAGGTGCAATGGTGTCCCCTGCTTGTCATACTACAGAAATGCTCTGTTCCTCATGTGATCAATTTAAACTGCCCATTAAAATTTCATTTGTGTAAATCTGTACTAGAAAGATAATGGAATTAATTTACGAATAGAGATGTCACCCATCTAACTATTCTTTGGCATTTATCAAACCAAAATGCTTTTCCCTTGAAGTTGTATCAACATCAGAGATGTAAAGAGAAGCTGTGTAAATTCTCAGGAACAGGCATCTGATGTAGGCACAGGGCAAGCACAACAGGGGAGCAAGGCAGTGAGCCCAGAGAAGCTGTTAATGAACAGGTGACTGCCACAGGCCACCGAGACTTGGTCCTTCTGCGAGCCATCCCAGGCACTGTGGAGAATGAGTCACACAACTGTCCCACCGGGGGCAGGGAGTCAGGGACCTTCCTCAGACCCTCTGTCCTCATTGGCCTTCGGTAGGAGCGAGAGTCTAGGGCCTAAACATGGCACTACTTGGATGATGTCTATTATCTCATCAACATCCCATTGATTCTCTGGACAGTTGGCCCTGTTTCTCAGATTAGGAATCTGAGATACAGAAAAGATTAAGCTACTCGCTAAAAATCAAATAGTTGATAAGTAGCTGGGCTGGACTCCAAATTCAGTGTTCTCTCTCCCACTCTAGGGTGCCACATCATAAAGGCCATGGCCCGTCCATTCTCCAGCACAGTCTTTTCCTCATGGGGAAAGACATAGCCTGAGGGAGGGGGCAATTTCTAGCCTCTCTCCTCTCAAGGAAAATGTATGGAGATAGCTTCCCAGATTGTTTTAATAATCCTGCATCCATAGAAAAATCTTCTAGGTCTTCATCCACCAGAGCCATGTGAAATTTTTATAGCATCATCATCTGTGCCTACTCCCATCCCAAATACCAGTTACTATGAAATTATGCCAGAATTTAGATCAAAGTATGGGGGAAAATTCAAGACAAATTTTTATCTGATGAACTCATGGCAAAGAATCAAATTTCATAGAGAGTTCCAGATTCTAGTATATTAAAAAACAATCTGTAACTTTTCTGTGAGGAGAGTAGTTTATTAGAACAAATAAAACATGCTGAGCTCTGTCAGGACACAGGGATCATGCTAATGTGTGAGCCGAGGAGAGTCTTTTCTTGCTTTAGTCAAATGGATAACCACCTGCAAATCACTAGCATCTGAGGTTGATTAAAAATGCACATAGATATAGAAAAAAGTTCCAGGAAATTATTGCATTTATAGTTTGCCTGTAGTAGTCAATGGAAAGGCCCTTGTGGCTCCCAAAATAACACTCTGGATAGCCCTGTATGCTAGCAACTTTGCTCCCTTGAAGGTACGGCTCCCGTTGGCACTTCCACCGTCTCCCCAGGAGGATAGCCCCTTTTCACAGGGTGCCAGGGGAGTGGACATGACCCCAATCCCCCTGCTCCAGCTGTACAGCAGCTGACTTGAGCAAGTCCCATCCCCAGAAGCTCCAGAGCAGCCCACCTGAAGGAGCCCTTGCCTTAGATACCTACACCAAACACCTAACCATCGGTCACTTAGAAAGCAGAGGCCCCCCTTAGCATTAACACTTGGAGGACACAGGATCTTCACCAAAAGGATAAAATGCAGAATATTCTGGCCAGGCAATAATCACCGAGACCTTTCACAGAACAGTATAAGCATCTGAGGAAACAACAGATGGCAATCCTGGACACAAATTACCATGATGCAAAGAACAAGACCCTGGCCAAACATTCAGTGGGCTGTCTGGGGATAAAGCATTTTAATCCTCTGGGTACAGAATTCTGTAATTCCTGGTCCATTGTGAATGTAGGCAAGGCTCCAGACACACAGTATCTATGTGCCTAGAAAGGCCTTCCTACCTAAGGACACCCCAGCCACATGAAGGCCAGTTGGGCCTGGTCTGCTCATTCTCTGGACCCATAGAGACCTCTGTGGCGACACCCATCCACTGACTCCAAAAGGAAAGGGAAGGGCTGGCGTGCAGAAGGGCACTTCACCTGGCACACTGGGCTGGAAGACTTTATTCAGATCCAAGGAGGAGGCTCTGGAATGGGTTTTCTGTGGCCGCGGTGGCGGGGTGGGAGGGTCCTCGCCCCTTTTCATGGCCTCTTCTATGGAGGTGCTAGAGTAAGATCTGCAGCAAAATAAGGGAAGGTCAAAAGGGAAACAGCAAAGCTTCACTCTCTGAAGTTGGGCTGAAATGGAAAATACCCACAAAAGTCTAAGTGACTGCTAAGGCCTGTGAAGCTCCCAGAGAGGCCATGTCCCTGCTGCCCCCTCAATGCCACACCAGCTGCAACAAGCACCCAACCCCTACCCGAGTCACAACCTTTTTTAACCTCTTTGCTCTTATTACACCTTAGACCTAAACTTGCCCAAGAGGAAACACTTTCTGTAAAATCAAATCCATTTTGATTGGAATTGTTAATAACAATAACATGTCAATGCATCTGGTTAGGTACATCTATATTTTAATAGAAGAGCTTCACGGTATTAACTGACCACAGAACCTGACTCCTGTTTACATGTAAATGTGATAACAGGCAAATATGGAACTGGGACAGATAAGCTGAGAAGAAGAACCAAATGTTCAATGGAATATGCCACAAATGAAATTCAGGAAAGGAAAACACACATCAATCAGACTGAGGGGCCTTGGGTGTCTTATCATGAGAAACACAGGTTTGGGGAAAATTTCAAAGCAAAAGCATCCTCTTAACCTTCTCTCTTGCTCCATCTGTAACAAGGCAGGAGCTAACTAGGCAATTTCTAAGATTATAATTCCAATTAATGGCATTTAATGAAAAAGAAACTTGGTAAGTTAGCAACTTACATACATTTCATTCAAACTCCAATCTCAGTTTCTAAATTCCATTTTTAAAATGCTTTGACACTGTCTATGAGCCAGGGAAGAAACCTCTGGACAGGAGCAGGTAAACTATTTATTAGAGTCCTGCTTATTTTCTAAATTAATTCAACTAAGTACATTAGTCTATTGCTGAGGACTATGTCGATGAGTTCCCAATATGGTTTTCTAAGAAGTGCATATATACATCTTATGTCTGTTCAGTTCGGCTTCTGAGCTAACTTCATGCCAAATAAGAAAATGACCTTTGAGTCAGATGTGTCCTAGAGACAAATTAGCCTCAGGAAATTGCCTTGATATTTAGCTATTACAGTAGCACTCAGGAAATTAGAATCTATTCATTACTTTAAGCAACTTCAGTTCTTGGTAAAGCTAGCTTTGACACAGCAAGTTCTTATTTTCCTGAATAACTTCCTCAAAGCTTCTATGCAGTCCAGAGTTTTGCTCATCATGCAAGGCTGCAAACTTTAATAAAGCCACCATAATGACATGTGATATGCTCTTGCAGTGATCCTTGTTAACACAACTTGCAAGACACACAAGGCAAAGGCAGGCAAGAACTAACAGGAAGCATGCTCTGATCCTTTCAACCAGAATAAAAGAGAATCCACAGAAAAGGGCAACAAAGTTTTCAAGTGGGAACTCCTGATTAAAAAAGGAAATTAGGGACCCTAGCTAGAAAGAACTTTCAATGACAGATACAGCTCTAGTGACATTTTTCACTCAAGAAAGACAAAATAATGTGGTATGTATAAATCATGTGCAGGTATATATACACACATATACATATACTTGAGCACACAATCTCATACTATGTATCTTATTTCATTTTACTTCCATATATAACCTGTGTATTTATATTTTTATACAGAGAGGTAAATGAATATTCAATAAGTGATACTATAAAACTATGAATGCAGCCAATTAAAATATGAATGTGCAGGGACTCAACAAAATAATGAATGTAGCAGTATTAGAAGGGTGATTTCCCTTCCCCTTACATTTCTAAAAAGTTTTGTTATTCTAAAAAGGAGGGTTCAAATAATTTGATTCTCACGGTCTCAGTAAAGACCCCGCTGGGTGTAGTGAAAATAACAACATCCAAATTAAACCAAGAGGACAATCCCTGAAAGAATCATATACAAAATTTAGGCAAAATATTAATAATAGAATGTGTGATTGAGATTTTGTCATTTCACTTGCTTTGAGAGACACAGAGGAAGCTAGCAGAATAAAAAAAAAAAACTATGAGGGTCAAGTTCTGCCATTCAGAGAAGTATTTGTCTACTATAAAGGCAGACAAATGTTACTACTCCTACATCCTAGAGCCAGTACAGAGTAATTTGTAAAAGATCCCTTCATCCTTTAAAAACAGGATGAGTAGATGTGGTGGCCATAGAGAGAAACAGGGACTATACCCTTTTTTTCTACCAAAAATTACTGTACCTGTTGTTTTAACAAATATGAACTTTCATATTTGTTAAATGTATCTATTACTTGTACATATTTGCTTTAACAAATATGAACATAGGTATCTGTACCTTCTATAAACAAGGAAGCAAAACTCTAACTTGGAAAATCCAGATATAAAAGATAAACTAAGGTGTAATTCTTTGATTTACAAGGAGACCAGAATTCCTTAAATGGCAGTATTTCAAGCATACAAAATACAATCATATTTAAATTCACCTTCTCAGGAACACATCTAGTAGCCAAAGGAGGGGAAAAAGTCATTGAGAGCCAAAGCAAAACTTGGAAAACACACAAGCAGCATCCCATCTCCCACTGCAGTCTACTGGTGAACAATAATCTCAACACCGTGTCCCCTCCTTGAGGTTCTAGGAGTTCTATCAGCATCTCTGTATTCCTCTTCACTCCTCCTATCTACTATCTGATGACTCTCCCTTTGCTTCTAGCCTCTCCTTACTCAGCGAATATGAAGCTGAAAAGAGACTAACAGGATGAAACAATCCACAAACACTGCTTACCTGCAGTTTTGAGCTCACTGAAATCGCCAGAGCATTTTCATTCCCTACTCTAGATTTTATACTCAGACTTCTTATTTTTTGGTGTTAACCTTGTCATGACAGGACATTTCAGTGTTAGTTACCTTTTAGCCATATTTCCCTCTTTCCAAAGGTACTTTCCCACTACTCGTTATCATCTTGCAGCAACTGGGTCATGTCACATGGCTCCCTTCTTCATGTCAGCTTGCCAAAGAGCTGTAGCCCCTCTTCCAGCACCAGCAAACACAGAAACTAAGAGCATCCCCAGGAGCACTGCGGGCTCCAGTCAGGCCCCTAGAGACAGTGAACTCACCTACAGCCTAAGTGTCAAACTGAAGGGAAGAGGGGATCGCGGGTTAGGTTTTTGTTGGGAGATTTACTTCTAGTCAGGGAGAGGGCACAAAGGGCATTAAAGCAGAAAGTTAAACAAACACTACCTGGATCTTGGTCTTGCTTTGAGACTGTTGGAATCCTTAGGAGTGGCTGAAACAAAGATTATTTGCTGTTTGCTTGGGTTTCATGTCTGCAGTTAAACAGGTTTATAAGCAGCACCTGGGCTAGTACAGAACACATCAACAGTAAACGTGAGGTACAAATATCCCTGTGGAAAACCTGACCACTTCCACATGTTTGTGATTCCATAATTTTATTTCTAAAGCTAAAGGCACAATTCACAGGAAAGAAAAAGCAACATATTTTTCCTTTCATCAGAGCACTAGCCACAAAGCCATTTTTAAATCGAAGCTGGCTAATGAAGAAATTCCAGTCTAAAAAGACAACTCCCTCAAGAGGTTATCTATTTATACAATGATGGGTTCAGACTTGAGGGTTTCTTGGTCTATCATGATAGTCAAGTATTAAATAATAACAGATCTTGAACCAGTCTTCCCTGAAGGCTAGGAAGAAATCTATCAGGCTACATATTTTTAAGGTTTTCTTAAAAATACACCACCAGGACAGCATGACCACAAGAAATCAAAGCTCCCACAATTAAGCTGAAATGAACTATGCAGTTTTTCCCATAAGAAAATATTTTTGTGTTTCAAATTATACAGAGAGTATTATGGAATATATTTTGTCAACCAGACAACTTTTCCTTCCCCAAATTAAATCATAAACTAGCTTGCTCACTACCAACACACATAAAGCCTACTTTCCCATCGTAAGTTGTTGGGAATAATGAGAAAGAAAATGTTTCATTGCATGATGTCATCCTCTTTTACATTACTCCAAAGATAAAAACCTTCCTTGGTGGGAAGCATGCTGGATTTCTGACGATCATTAAGTGAAAGTGTTAGTCGCTCAGTCATGTCCGACTCTTTGCAATCCCATGGACCATAGCCCACCAGGCTCCTTTGTCTATGGGATTCTCCAGGCAAGAATACTGGAGTGGGTAGCCATTTCCTTCCCCAGGAGATCTTCCCAATCCAGATATCGAACCCACGTCAATTGCATTGCAGGCAGATTCTTTAGCACTGCTTCCAGGGAGCCCTTAAAGTCCTTAGGTTAGCTAAGCAGGGCAGAAATGGGGAACTGAGATGCTACCACGGCACGAAGCAAACCAGGAACAACGTTCCCTTCGCGTGGTCAGCTGTGGAAGACACACATTCCTGCCAAGCACAGCACCCTGGCTTCTCAGAGTGAGGACACAGCCACCTTGGGACTATAAACCACCGGAAGGCTGCCAGAGCCCCAAGAAGTGTGGGAGGCCGAGCAATGTGAACCTGCCTTGCTGGGTCTCATGCACCCACAGTGGCACCTGCTCGAGGACAGACAACCACCCCTCCTCCTCCAGGCCCCTGGGCGGCAAAGAATAGTGGCCCAAGAGAGCCTCTCCTCCAGCCCAGCAAGCTGCCTGGGAGCTGGGCCAACAGTGGGACTCCATTCACCATGGCTGGCTCTGGCCCCACTGCTTCCCAGAAATGTGTAAGTCAGAGAAGTCTGCTGCTGCTGCTGCTAAGTCACTTCAGTTATGTCTGACTCTTAGCGACCCCATGGACTGCAGCCTACCAGGCTCCTCCATCCATGGGATTTGCCAGGCATGAGTACTGGAGTGGGTTGCCACTGCCTTCTCCGTCAGAGAAGTCTAGGTCATGTTAAAAGACTGTTCCCCAAACCAGACCATGGTAACTTGTTAATTCCTTTGTCCACGGCCACTATCTGTCTTTATGCTGGGGTGTGGAAGGAGCAGGAATCCTGTTGGTGATAGACAGGCAGACAGATGGGGTGAGGGGGGTGGCTGAGGGTTAGAGACTAGGCCAACTCCTCCTGGCTGCAACATTCACTAGCTGTGGTTTCTCTGAACCTCAGTCTCCTCACCTACAGAATGAAGAGAATAAAAATGAAGCCCCTTTCTCACACGGAGAGATAAGAAGGTGAAAGCACTTTAAAAACTAAATGTGTTCTAGAATTGCAAAATATTATTCTTGTACAGTGTCCTTAATTTTTTAAGCTTAGAAATTTGGTTTCAAAATTTAGTTTCTTCTAAGACAGCAAAGGAGATACAAGTGGGTGCAGGGAATGGAAGGAGAGAAAAGCTCTGCCGCTTAAGACCATCAGGGTGGCAACTGCAAGAAACACCAACAGCAGGCTGAAGGCTACAGCGTGAGGACAAGCAGGTCCAACACCCTTGGCATGATGCGGAGACACACAGAAAAAGATGGCCGTGGTGCATTAGGCTGGAATGTGACATTAGCTAAGAAATCCATCAGATTCTACTACTATACACACACTCAGCAATTATAAGGGTAAGAGCCTAAGAGAAAAATTACATACCAAGGAATACCCCACTCCCTGATGATACAGTCCCATCCCATCTATAAGCCACAACATTCTCTTCACTGCCATTACTATTATCATGGTTATCACAACCCTCTGCGGAAGGAAGGGTGGAAGTGGGAAATGAGATCCCAGGCAGGGCTGGTGAGTACTAACAGGCTCCAGATCAGAAAAAGCTGGAGAACACAATTCTAGTTAAGTCTTCCATCGGCTTCCAAGCCCCTGAAAATCGGACCCAGCATTTGGAGCATGTGAACACCTGCAAAAATGGTGAGGGCAGGCTGTGTCAGAATCCAAGCAGAAGACCACGGGCAAATCATAGCTTCTCACTGAGCTGGGCAGAGAGAAGAAGAATGAGAATTTCTTAGAACACCCCAGGCATGTCACCCTTCCAGGAAACAGAAACAGGACAGGAAGGCAAGCCTAAAGTTTAATTCTCCAAAAGACAGCAACTCAACCAAGGTGAACTGCTAACATGGTATGGAAAGCCTCCAGAATCAGAAACTACCACCTTGATACTCCTGTCTTTCACTAAGAATCCAATCGTTCCCTGGGTATTAAATAAGCTTTCAGATGAGGTATTCCCTCATAGCCACTCCAGAAAGGGCAGCAAAGAACAAATCAGAAACCACACAGCATGCTCCCAGGCAGAATGTGAAACAAATTCAGATATACTTTACATACTGTGGCACATATACCCTGATAGGCTCTGGCTGGTGATGGATGCAAACCCTATTCAATGAAGAAATGTTGAAAATGACATCCAAAACTCCTGCCCCAGAGAACACAGAATGCTCATGGAAATAAACAGGAAGAGTTATAAGCCAAAAAGTTTGTTGGAGAAGCACAATTTAACTCTCCAAATTTAAATAGCATTTATTAATACCATAACAAGAAGTTTACAAAAACTGGGACATATCCACTTCATTTCCAAAAATTAGAGTTGGAAGGAACCTATGTCGGGTGATTGTGCTACACAAATAGAGCATTTCCCCCATGATGAAGGAACTTGAATCAGTTCCAAAAACCAAAACACAACTTGAAAATTCCTACCATTTTTGGAGTCACAGTTAATTTACAATCTTAATTTCCTATTTCTTAACATTGCTTTTGAGAGGTAGTAGTTCCCCAAATAGGCTGAACATTAGAATCCCCCGGGGGGTTGTCTGAAAATACAGATTCCTAGGCCTCATCACTGTAATCAATTATATATTCTCATTCATATTCATTCTCTCTTCCTCCATCTCCCTCTTCCTCTCTCCCTCACTCCCCATTCCTTTCTCTATCTCTACCCATCTCTCTTTTAAACCTTAAATTAACTTGATGCTTGGGAAATACACTACTAAACCTCGATAAATATTGATTCCTTTGTTCTAACTTTAACAAATAAAGCCTGGATGATAGCTAGCTAACTGAAACAAACATGATTTGATTATTAAATATTAAAAGAGAAAACAATAAATGAGAAAGGAGCAACTTCTTTCATGTCCCTATAACCAGAGCTACAAACATCCCTAGCCAGTATGTTCTAAACTACGTTCATCTTGGTTCAATGACAGCTCCATCGAGAAAGCTAAGGACACAGGCCCAGTCATCTCCATGGTTCACAGACACAGTCCTGACTCTCCAAAAACCTGGGCAAACACAACTTTTATTTTTCTCCATGGAATCTACTCCGTGTATAAACACATTTACCTGCTTTCCTGGTGGTGAAGTATAATGAAAATATTTGAGATTTTTATTTTGGAAATGGAAAGCTTCACCTATGAGCCTCCCGTTGATCCACTCCATCAGCTCCTTACTCTACAGAGAAATCACAATGGCTTATTGAAATCTTCCCAAATTAAACTCTTCCCAACTTTACACTTAGTGACAATGGGACCCTCAATTCAAACTGAGAGATCCTTTCAGTGAAAACTATATTTAGAACTTACAAAGTAACCACTCTCTCTCTTCTCATACCTAAGAAGAGCGAAGGAGTAAAAAAGAAACCAAAAGGTTTCCTTAGTATAAAACACACAGCAAATATTTGGAAAGAAATATATATATATGTGTGTATGTGTGTGTGTGTGTATATATATATAAAATCACAAATGTGCCAGTCTTCTCATTGAAACTACAGGGCTGTTTTTTTTTAAGAAATAATTACATTTAAAATATATTAAATTGGTTTTATCCTACCTGAATCCTCAGACATGTCCTTTGGTAAGGCTTCATCAGTAGCACTCTTCAAAGCTAGCAGTGTTTTGTTTTTAAAGCACAAGAGAGAGAAAAGAAAAAAAATTATATCTAAAGCATGTCACATTAAAACAAAGAATTCCAAGTTATCACTTAATGAAAACAGTATTCTATATACCTATAAGTTGCTATAGCACTTACTAAAACAATAAAAGCCTCCTAGGGTATGATAATGGACTCTACTCCTCCAGAGAATAAAGACATATTTTCAATGTTCCAGAGAGAGTGCCACCAGTGGCTTGGGAGAGTATTACCAGGAAATATCAAAATTCCCCATTTTTTCCCAAGCAAAGACATCAGGATCTCTCTGGGAGTGACAGCCAGGCTTCAGGATTTTTAGAGCTCGCCAGGTTATTCCAATGGGCATTTAAGGCTAAGATCCACTAGTAAAGAGAGTTATAGATAATGCTATAGATAATGTCCAGGTCTGCCTGCCCCTCCTGCTCAAACACTGAAATAAAGAGCATGCAATTATTGTAATTGTTTCCCTGTTGGCTCAGTGAAGAATCTGCCTGCAAGGCAGAAGACCTGGATTTGATCCCTGGGTCAGGAAGATCCCCTGGAGAAGGAAATGGCAACTCACTCCAGTATTCCTGCCTAGGAAATCCCATGGACAGAGGAGCCTGGTGGGCTACAGTCCAATAGAAGGGATACTGGCTTGAGAATTAGAAAATCTTGGTTCTTACTGCTGCTCTTTTTCTTACTGGGTAAATGATTCATACTGCCTGAACCTGAGTTTACGCATCTATGTATTTTAGGCGATAAAATATATCAGCCTCCATTCAATTCTGTGAGGACTGAATAATGCAGTGCATAAGGAAGGACTCAATAGATTAGAAAGCATTATAACAGAAGCATGGGAGGAAGTAGGGTGTTCTTCCTTCTCTTCTAGACAGTGCCAAGCCAAGTCATCCCTGTGCTTGATGCTAGCTATAACAAGCAACACTGTGCTGCAATGCTCTCACCCACCCACTAAGATAAGGAAATTGTTGCTGGGCTCCACATCACAGCCCAACACCCACAAAGTCACAGAGAATAAAGCCCAGGGACAGAAACTCTCTCTCCAGAAGGTAACTTCCTCGACGGTTAGATCTGTGTGCAAATGTACATTTATATTGATATTCTGGGATCACACCTGCCAACACAAGATGTTATGTTCTCAAACCATTCAGCTTCTAGTCATTTCCTAATCAGTAAGGCCAGATTCCAATATAAGGTGTCAGAGTAGCCTGAGGATCAGCTGTAAGTACAGGGTCGTAACTGAAGTGCTTTGGACACTCAAGCTTATTACTGCTTTATGAACTATAGTTCAGTGACAACAACTGAACATCTTAATCCATCCAAATGTGTTCATATACTGAGAACAGTCTTCATACACTCTAGAAACCAGCCATTCCAAGAGAAGTAGATAAAAAAAATACACAAAAAAATGTTCCTAAAGGAAGAAAACTCATTCTTTACATACCTTGTTTGTCATCACCAGTCACATCTTGGGTAGGGACAGGAAAGTCGGCCATGTCTTTAATAGACAGCTTCTTGGAAAAGAAAAGAAAATTAATAATATGGGTTGGAATGAAAATGAAGTGACATGCATATATGATGAAAATGTTTTTAAAAGCTGTATATTTTTGCCAATATTTCTGTCTTCCATAAACCTTGACATTTAATATTTTTTTTTAGATTTCTAGTGAGGTATGTTAATTTGCATTGAAAATTTTATATACACAGAGGAAAAATATAATGATTTAGGCTGAGGTCTATGTATAGTACATTGTATCTGAATCTGGTATGGGATTCAGCCAGAGTCATAGAGCATTTGCCCATAACTTCAGTCTAGAACAAACCTATGCTCTAGCTATTTTCTCACAAGCAGCAAGAGGTTCTGACAAGTAGTCCCATCATGTGGGTATTTGCCAGAATCTCTTATGCAGAGGGTGCTCAAACCTGATTCAAATAGCCTCCCTGTCATGCAATAAGAGAATTTTACTGGTGTGCAGAAGAAAACTTTCTGCTAACTCATTTAAGGGAGACGTTTCCACTTATACTAAGATGAATACCCAAACTGATCACGTGCTGATTAGTTTAAAAATCTGCGTAAAACCTACTTACTATAATTTCTTATAAACGCTCAATTAGCATGGATTCTGTCCTCTGATAAGATTAAAGGATAATATATTCATATTTGGTATATATATAAACAAATTATAGAAAGCTATATAAAAACTGAAGGGTGATTGGGTACATGGGGATAGGGATAAGAGGAAGACTTGTCACTATAAGCCTTTTGGTATTCTTTTTATTTTAAATATATTCAAAGAATAAAATAAAGATAAATTTTAAAACTTAAATAGGATAAATTCCTGGAGTAATCTGGTGCTCCTAAAGGTTAATTGGTTTACCTCTCAGAATCAGAACAGCCCAAGAGAGATAAGCAATACTTCTGTTTTCAAACTGTTTCAAAGAACGGAGTTACAATACTGCCTGGTGGTAATCTGACCTAGGGTTTAAGAATGCTCAGACAAGTCATTCTTGGCATCATAATAAAGCCTCCAGACCTAATTTAGAACACAGAATGTATCTCAACCGTGCCCTTCTTTCATTTTCTTGTCCCAACTGGATTATAAACCAAATCCTTAACAAAACAAAATATTTTAGGAGTAGGAAAAAACAGATAAAAAGAAATCCAAAAGAACATCACTTAAAGGAATTTAAAAAATCTAAATAAATGGAAATACATTCTGTGTTCATGGGTCCAAAGACTTAATACTGTTAAAATGGTGATACTCCCAAAATTCATCTACAGAATTGAAGCAATCCTTTTATTTTTATTTTTTTGGAGAATTTGACCAGCTGGCCCTAAAATTTCATATAAAAATGCAAGGGACCCAAAATAGCAAAAATATTCTTGAAAAAGAACAACAGAGCAAAAACTCACAGGAATCAAGACAGTATAGTACTTACATAATGACAGACATATAGATCAATGGAACTGAATTGAGAATCCATAAATAAACCCTTACATTTGTGGTCAACTGATTTTCAACAAGGGTACAAAACAATTGAGTAGGGGAGAGACTGTCTATTCAATAAATGATGCTGAAACAACTTGATATCCATATACAAAAGAATGAAGTTGAACCTCTTCTTCACAATCTCTATAAAAATTAACTTAAAATGGATCACAAACCTAAATGTAAGACCTAAAACTATAAAACCCTTAGAAGAAAACAGGAATAAATCTTCAAGATTTTGTATTAGGCAATAGTTTCTTAGACATGACACCAAAAGCACAGGTAAGAAAAGAAAAAGATTAGATAAATTCTACTTCATCAAAATAAAAAACATTGGTGCTACAAAGGATACTATCAAGAAAGAGGAGAAAAACAAAGAAAAATACTTGCAAATTATGTATTTAATAAGAAACTTACATCTAGAATATATAAAGAACACTTAAAACTCAAACAACCCAGTTTATAAATGGACAAGAGATAAGAATAGATATTTCACCAAAGAAGACATACAAATGGCTAATAAGCACACAAAAAGATGCTTAATATCAGTAGTCATTAGGAAATTCAAATAAAAACCACAGTGAGATACTTCTTTATTCCCACTAGGATGGCTAAAAACAAAGAGAGATAGTAAACAAAGTTAACAAGGATATGGGGAAATTGGACCCGTCATACATCACTGGTAGAGGAATGTAAAACGGTATAGCTGCTTTGGAAAGTAGTTTGCTAGTTCCTGAAAAAGTATAACACAAGGTATAATGTGATCCAATTAATTTACTCCTCAGTTTATACCCAAGAGAAGTGAAAACATGTGTCCACACAAAAACTTGTACATGGATATTCATAGCAGCATTTTTTCTAACAGCCCAAAAGTGGAAGCAACCCAAATTTCCATCAGCTAAAAAATGGAGAAACAAAATGTGTTCTATCCATACAATGGAATATTATTCAGCAATGAAAAGGAATAAAGCACTGATACATGCTACACTGCGAATGAACTTTAAAATATCATACAAAGTGATCTTATCACAAGAAAAAAATATTCTTTCCTAATTCTTTAATGGTGTCTCTATGTGAGATGATGGATGTTCACTAAAGTTATTGTGATCATTTCAAAATGTTTGTAGTCAAATCATTTGGCTATAGACCTTAAACTTATCCAGTTGTATACATCAACTATGGAAGCAGTGACAGATTTTATTTTCTTGGGCTCCAAAATCACCATGGACATGGACTACAGCAATGAAATTCAAAGACGCTTGTTCCTTGGAAGGCAAGCCATGAGAAACCTAGAGAGCATATTAAAAACCAGAGACATCACTTTGCTGACAAAGGTCCATATAGTCAAAGCTATGCTTTTCCAGTAGCCATGGACGGATATGAGAGTTGGACCATAAAGAAGGCTGAGAGCTAAAGAATTGATGTTTTTGAATTGTGGTGCTGGAGAAGACTCTTGAGAGTCCCTTGGACAGCAAGGATACCTAACCAGTCACTCCTAAAGGAAATCAACCCTGAATATTCATTGGAAGGACTGATGCTGAAGCTCCAATACTTTGGCCACCTGATGTGAAGAGCTGACTCATTAGGAAAGACCCTGATGCTGGGAAAGATTGAAGGCAAAAGGAGAAGAGGGTGGCAGAAGATGAGATGGTTAGATAGCATCACCAACTCAATGGACGTGAATCTGAGCAAACTCTGGGAGACAGTGGAGGACAGAAGAGCCTGGTATGCTGCAGTCCACAGGGTCACAAAGAGCTGGACATGACTTAGAGACTAAATAACAACAACAACGACAACAAATACATCAACTATATCTCAATAAAACTGGAAGATCAAAGAACAAACATTATACTAAATGAAAGAAGCCGTCACAAAAGACCACATGTTATATGTTTCTATTTATATGAAATGTCCAGAACAGGTAAATTCTAGAGACAGAAAATAGCTCAGTGATTACTAGAGGCTGGGGCAAGAGGAGAACAGTTGATGACTGCTAATGGGAACAGGTTTTCTTTCTGGAGTGATGAAGATGTTCTAAAATTAGACTATAGTGACAGTTGCACAACTATATACTCAAAACCATTGAATTGTATACCTTAGCTGAATGTGGTATGTGAATTATATCTCAATAAGCCTGTTTACAAAAAAAGCAATTCAGTAACCTAAGAAACATGGCTAAAGACACATATACTTGAAATTGTAATCTTTACTTCTTGATGGAAATAAGTACATGGTACAGCTCTGCTATCTTCTAAAAAAGATGTACTGCTGAGCAAACTTCTCAAGACCTGAATCAGCTATAGCTCCATTCACAACAAACACCTGCATGGAGTCATCCCTCACAGGGCTGCTGATACCAAGTTCTATTTAAACTCCAAGCATGAGGACGTCCCTGGTGTTCCAGTGGTTAGGACTCAAAGCTTTCATTGCCAGGGACCTGGGTTCAATCCCTAGTCAGGGAACTAAGATCCCACAAAACATGCAGCACAGCCAAAAATAAAATAAACTTCAAGCATGCATTCTTGTGTTTAAAATATCTCCAGTTCCAGGTTTGACAGCCATCTGTATATCTGGCCCTTTCCTTTTAAACAGATGATAAGTGAGTACACTAGTAGTCATGTATGGATGTGAGAGTTGGACTATAAAGAAAGCTGAGCACTGAAGAATTGATGCTTTTGAACTGTGGTGTTGGAGAAGACTCTTGAGAGTCCCTTGGACTGCAAGGAGATCCAACCAGTCCATCCTAAAGGAGATCAGTCCTGGGTGTTCATTGGAAGGACTGATGTTGAAGCTGAGACTCCAACACTTTGGCCACCTGATGCAAAGAGCTGACTCATATGAAAAGACCCTGATGCTGGGAAAAATTGAGGGCAGGAGGAAAAGGGGACGACAGAGGATGAGATGGTTGGATGGCATCACCGACTCGATGGATATGAGTTTGGGCAAACTCCGGGAGTTGGTAATGGACAGGGAGGCCTGGCGTGCTTCAGTCCATGGGGTCACAAAGAGTCAGACACGACTGAGTGACTGAACTGAACTGAAGTGAGTAAATGGGGAAAAGCAACATGAGTCAGTAATTAATTTCTCAAAAAAAAAAAAAAACACCCAAATAATGTCTCTGTTGGAAAGGCGAAGACTATATGATACCACAGCAAGATGGAATAAAATGTTTAACCAGAAAGAATATGAATTAAGACATTTTTTTAGTAAATCACCTAACAACAACATAATTTTACACAAGCAAGGCTACCCATAGCAAAAAAAATTTTTTTTAATTTAAAAATAAAACAAAAAAAACCAAAAATCAGGGCAACTGCATAAGAGTTATAGCATCCTGGCCTGACAGACAAACTTCTATGGACACTGCCAGCGACCCAGAATACACTGGGGGCTATGAAAAGTGGCTGACAATCATGTCTGCTTCACCATCATACACAATCTACAGAAAAAGAAATTGAAAAAGCCAAAAGTCTTTGAATGCACATCTATCACTCCACCTAAAATCACTTTATCTCTCTCCCAAGAGGAGAAATCTGCTAAACAAAGGAGCACAGAGGCTACAACACACACAAAAAAAGTAGCAGAGAGGCTGAGAGAGATGTTATCAGAGAGAATGATGCGGAAGCGGGCTGGACTGGCTCAGAGAGGATGGCAACCAGAACACACACTACAGGCACCAGAGCCTCATGGGGGAAGAATAAATAATCACACATCATCACAAGAAATTTTGTAAATGGCCCTGTATCTTGCCTTTGATCTCTATCATCTTGCAATGTCAGAGCACGGTAATAGAAGCCTATGAACAAACCTCCATTTATGAAATACTTCCAGACTTTTATCAGGGTGGGAACAATAGATATCGTAAGTTGTCATCACGGCAATTATAACAGTGGTAATGGTGATGATAGTGCTGATATTAACAATAACCACAAGGACCCCTAAGCACACGTCTAAGCCCATCAATGGCCCATCATTAAAGGAGTTTGTTTGTTTGTTTGTTTGTTTTTGTTTGTTTGTTTTTTGGGGGGGAGTAAAAAATGCTTTATTTTAGAATCATGATGCTTAATACAGTATATAAATAGAAACAAACAAATGCATGTATGTATGAAGTATCCCTATACTTGTATTTTGTTAAGGGCTTTTATTATTTTTTAAATTAGGAGTAGATTTCATGTTTTATTAAACGTCTTATTTGCATCTATTAAGATGATTCTGATTTATCTAATTTGACCTATTAATATGATAAAGTATAGTACACTGAAAAGAACTGAAACACTTACATTTCTAGAATAAATCTCACCTGGATACACTGTTTTGCCAATATTTTATGTAAGCATCTAAATTCATAGGTAAGTTCGGTATAAAGCTTTCTCCAATTTTCTTAGTATCAGTATAGCACTAATGCAGATACCTGTAAAAAAAAGGCTATTTCTATTTAACATAACGATCCCACTATTAAAAAAAATTATTTACAAAATTGTTTGAATCCAGTACTTTGAGATTTTTACTATAGTTTTATAAAAATCAGTATTGGGTTTTCAGGGGCTTCCAACTCAGAGGAATCCTATTTTAAGGATATCATGGAGGTAAGAAGCAGCAAAGGAAGAGGCCAAGTGTGATTTTATGTGCACCTTCCCTTTCCTTCCACAAATTTTATAGCAATTCCTCTTAGAAAGGACTTGGACTTCATGAACATAATGAAAGAGAGGCTTAAAACAAAAGATCAACTAAAAAGTTAACCCCTTAACAAAAGTTTCAATAGTCCTCAAAATAATCACTTTTTGAGTAGTAAAACTAAAAAATAATAAGCCATGTATACCAAGTGAAGCTGAAAAGCATGCACTTCAAAATGAACAAGAAACATTTTTAGAGTCTCTTGTATTAAAACATCTTATTCAAGTATACCTGCCATTTATCACTTAATGCAAAGGATAAACAAACTAGTCTTTGTTTTTCTCCTAAAATATATCTAAATTCATTAAGGGGACAGTCTTCTTTTGTTGCTTTACTAGGTTTTGTTATTTTAATGGCTTGAATATAAGATTGTTTTTATAGACTAGTGACACCTGGCTCCAAGTGCAAACAGTGAATCATACAGGGGTTCCGTTTCTGTTCAGAGCGGCTGATGGACTCTGAAAGGGCAGAGTGTCGACCGAGATGGAGGGTTCTTTTCAGCTCTCACACTTGGCTTTTTTGCAGGCTGGAAGAGAGTCATCATCTGCTTCTGATGTCCGAGGTTTCTTCACCGTGGAAATAATTCCAAAAGCAGTTTTTCTAGTTTCTCCATGCAGAAGCACTGCTTGGCAGTTGGTGGACACTGCAGCCTTGGCATCACTTTCAGACAGCCCAAACAGCAACCCTAAGTTTGCCACATCGTATGGGCCTCTTATTTCTAAAGGCCTGTCTGCAGTACTAGATATAATTACATTCTTTCCTTTGCAGACCTGCATTAAATTGAGGGCGTTGGAAATTGTGTACCTTCTCATCGTGGAGTCTTTGATAGCAGGGCTATAGAGAAGTTCAAAGCCTACTCCTAGGTCAATTGCCACATTAATAGGGGGTCTTTTGAAATAAAATGGTAGCTTCTCTGTTACAGTTATGCAGACTAAATCCACATCTAAATGTGTACAAGCAACATGAAAAAGTTTTTCTGTCTTTGGAAAAACTGCAACAATATCATACAGCCGGACTCTTGAAGAAGTTGCTCTCAAAACATTACGGTGTGATGGATCCGAAACGATAATTGTTAGTCAAGTTAAAATTTTAATTGGTTTTGATTTTCCCTGTACAATTGGCAAAGTTGTAAAGAGTTCAGAAACAGCTACTGGTTTTTCAATTTCCTGTTTCTTTTCCTTAAATTCAACAACATGATTGATGGCAACCACTGAATAGCCCAGGTGAGCAGCATTCTCCACGAGCCCGCGCAGCGCCTTCAGGTCGGAACCCGCCCGTAGGTCCAAATCGGCAAACACCGCCATGCCGAAGTCACGTGAGCGCGGGCGCCCTAAAGGAGTTTTTCAGGTTTCTCTTAAGGATCATTCAAATTAGGCAGCTTTCAATGTGATTTGGGGCCCTCATATACAGCTCTCAAACTTCTTCTCAAAACTCTTCGGATTCATTATACCCTGTTAATACCCAGCTTGCTAAAAATACAGCTTTACAATGTTTACTTTAGAATAAAGTTTGGTTAAAGTAAATAACCTATAATCCATTTTTTTGGCTTAGTTTGGCAATACCTAAATTTCACCTCTAAAAGGTCAAGAGGCTACTTTGCTTTTTTCTCCAAATCTAGTTTTAGGAAGAAAAGAAAAAAAGGATAATTACAGATATATCTGGTGTCTAAATCTGAACTGCTGAGCTTCAAAGTACTAAGTATAACGAGAAAACGTTATGAAGCAGATTTTCCAGAGCTTGTAAAAAACATCAGCTAACAGATTTAAGTGTACACACATCCTTACTTACTAACATGATGATTTTTTTACCTCCATCCGATTCAAGTCACGGGGTTGTTGGTTTGCTGGTATTGACTCAGAATAAGAATCAAATAATGCACACTTGGGCTTAGGAAAGGCTAAAAAGAAACAAAAAGAATACATTAAGAATATATACTTTAGTCATAGTGATCATTGTTTCCTTGCAGCTTTTCTGTGCTTCATAAATAGAACAACAAAATCAGCCAGTTCCTATACTAGAGATGGCACTCATCATGCTGAGGTAGTATTTCATGTTTTTACATATACAAGCTGGTACTTCTACCATGCCTACTCTACACACAATAAAACTAAGGAACAGTGAAGTGAAGCACCTTAGTCAATGTCAAAGAGTCAGTAAATGAAGAACAGGAATTTGAACTGCCAGCAGTCCTGCTGGAGAGCCCATGCTGTCGGCATTTCATGTTATATTAAAAACACACAAGTCACTTTCCACCTTAACCATCAGTATCACAATACTTCCGTTTTAACTATGATACTAGCAACATTTTTAAATGGCAGTGACTATGGTGATAGTTTGCATACCATAAACATTAACTGAGGAAATACTCCATTTTAGCTATTACTATTGAAGTAAATGGGCTCCCCTGGTGGCTCAGAGATTAAAGCGCCTGCCTGCAATGCAGGAGACCTGGGTTCGATCCCTGGGTCGGGAAGATCCCCTGGAGAAGGAAATGGCAACCCACTCCAGTATTCTTGCCTGGGAAATCCCATGGACAGAGGAGCCTGGTGGGCTACAGTCCATGGGGTCACAAAGAGTCAGACACGACTGAGTGACTTCACTTTCACTATTGAAGTAAATAGACAAGATCTTACAATGCTGTGTGCTGAAGAAAATTTTATGAAATACTCATTCCTTTTGGTGAGCAGGAATAACATATGTAAGAGCACAAGTTCTTACTGATTTATAACAATGAAATAAGAATTACATTATGGGTGTATTTCAACATAGTAAGTGCAGAGACAGCAGTTGTTTGCTGGTAGATGAGTGGATCAGCATAAGAAAAATCATGCTACCTGTTAAGCTAACACTGAACACTCCCACTATTTCTTAGAAGCAGATTCTGTTTCACCACTTTTGTCACAAAGTAAGTAAAAAAGAAATGTCTGAATAGCTAAGGAAATTGTCAATAGTCCAAAGAGGAAAAGCAGACTGGGGTAGACAGTAAACAGAAGCTACAAATCAAGTTTGTCAAGACCAGCTATTAAGAAATCAAAATTTTAATGGCATGTTTTTAAAAATACTGTTAATCAAATGTTAAAACATGGACGGGTGTTGTTTTGAATCCTTTCTCACCCTCCCATCACCACCAGGGTTTGAAATGCCAACTTCCCTCTTGGTAAAGTAGTGGCCACCAAGAAAGAGCTGCCACACACAGCTGAACACAAGCACCTTAGATCGTTCCTCTGCTTCCTCTGGTCTGCATTTCACTGAGAGCAGGTGGGACAAACCTCGAGCCCCAGTGATTTTTCTGACTATACCAAGTCGTCTCACCCTTTCCTTGGTTTAAAAAAAAAAAAACCCTCAGCAAAACACATTTCCAAATTTGTACCATCCCTCAATCCAGCCCCAAGAGGAGTTTTAACCAAGATAAGATTTCTCTTTCTAGCTGACCAATCAGTGACTTGGCTACAATTATACACTGATGCCTTATCAAGAAGGAGTCGAGCTGTGTAGAAAGCTAACACTTTCAAAAACTACCAAGGCCATCCATTCACTGCTGAATCTCTCTCCTGCAAGTCCCCATGTCTCCTCCTCCACCGTCACTTCCCAGTGCCAGCCTCCCATGGCTGTGATCCACTCTGCCATGATCTGCTTTTCAGTTTCCACCCTCCATCCTCAAAACCTGCTCTCAGTTCAGCAACCAGCATGACCGTTTCAAACAGCAAATCTGATTGTGTCCTTTCCTGCTTCAAACACATCATCATTGCCCATGATCTGTTCCCCACCTTCTGCTGTATCCTCAGGGCCTGGCTCTCTGCACTCCAGCCACCATGACCTGAAGTTCACATGCCTCCCCTGCTCCAAACTTCCTATCAGAGAGGGACACTGCAGCATACCTGCTGTCCCCTCTGCCCAGAGCCCACTCTTCCCCCTTCTTCACCTGCAGTGCCCTTAGCTCACCCTTCATGTTTAAGTGCAAACATTTAAGGAAGTCCTCCCTAAAGTCATCCATACTCCAACTGTCTGTAAGTCCTATGATGGTAAGAACTCTCTTTTATATAGCACCCTGACCACAGAGAATAACACAGTGCCTCTGACATAGGATGTAACCAGTAAGTACTTTTAACAAATTATAGGCTAAAAATCTATACCAAAATCCACCCAGTCACCTAGACATAAAAATATCCAAAAGCCCATGAGTAAGCCATCAAATAATCCAAAGTCTCCTTCCAATTCTGCCTTTTAATTTTCACTGTTGGCAGGCAGGGGGGAAAGAGATACAACAATTCTTGTTTCATTATTTTATTGAAAACAAGTTTATATATTTATGAATGCACAATGGTATCAACCAAATTTACACTCTTCACCAATGTTATTGAAGACTGGATTAATTTGTTTTAAAAACCAAATAGAGATCAATTTGAAAATTTTTGAAACAAGAGCTAAGTTTTTTAAAAATTCAAATTTGGTCTCATAAAAATGAACCCTCAAAATGAATAGGACCACTAATATTTTTCAAAGTCTAAAAGCATAGAGAAGACCTCAATAGTTCTGGCCATTTTCTTGAATCAAATACAAAAATAAACAAGGGTGATAAACCATTTAAAAGTTAACTACTAAACCCTTAGTTATCTTATTTACCTAAAATGTATTTACTATCACTATGTTTGATGGGGTTTTATGAGGTCTCTCATGATTTTTGCTAGAACTATATAATTATTATTTAAGATTAATCCCACAAACTGGAAATGATGGACAATTTTTATTTAATTGAAGGGTATGTGATAGATTCTTCTGTTTTTTCTATATAAATGCATACTACATAAAAGGTCACAAACAAATTGGTGTGGGGGCGGAGGGGGGGTTCAAACAAGGAGTCATGATACTTGGCTTAGGTTCCATGGCCACATCACATAAAAACAAGGAAACCGCATTTATCAAAACCCCAAAATGGAAGACGGCAGAGGAATAGGACGGGGAGACCACTTTCTCCCCAAAAAATTCATCAAAAGATCATTTGAACGCTGAGCAAATACCACAAAACAACTTCTGAACGCTGGCAGAGGACACCAGGCAGCCAGAAAGGCTGAAAGGAAAGAAAGTCTTTGAAAGGAGGTGCGACAAAATATAAAAGATAAAAAGAGAGACAAAAAAGTTAGGGACGGAGACCCATCCTGGGGAGGGAGTAGTAAAAGAGAAGTTTCCAAACACCAGGAAACCCTCTCACCAGCGGGTCTTTGGGGAGTTTTGGAATCTCAGAGGGCAACATAACTGAGAGGAAAAAATAAAACCCACAGATTACGCGCCTAACTGCAAATCCCAGCAGACAAGTAGCCCAGACGCTCACGTCTGCCACCAGCAAGCAGGGGCTGAACAGGGAGGCACGGGCTGCAGTGCTTAGGGTAAGGACTTGGCCTGAATGCCCTGAGGGCAATCTGAGGGAGCTAACATGAGACAGCAACCCAAACTGTGGGACAGCCAGAGAGAGAGGGAAGAAAAAAAAAGAGGAAAGAGAGAGACAGAACTTTCCCAAGAAAAGCTCTAACCTAAGGCACTGCCGGGCCCACTCACAGAACAAAGGACTGAGCTAATACCAGAGGAAAGCTAGCCAGCAGCGGACTGGCCCATTCCCCGCTGGAGGAAGAGAGGCAGGCAGGTGCCAGCCAGAGCCGGAAGGAAAGGGGCAAACTCAGTCCCAGAGACGGCATCCTCTACCAAACTGCGAGCAGGCTCCCAGTTGCTAACCAAGTTTTCCTGGGATCCTGGATGGTTGACATCTGCCAGGAGGGTTGCAGCCAGAGATCAGCTCCCCAGAGAAGACACACGGCATACCTGTGACAGTGCTCCCGCTGTGCACTGGGAAACAGAGCAGCCAGGACCAGGGAGGTGATAGGATGCACCGCCCCACATGGGGAGAGTGCGCTCACCAAGCAACTGGTCGTCCGAGCTGCTCAGACCTGGGAAGGGCACAAAACGCAGGCCAAACCGAGTCTGTGCCTTTGTGGAGTACCCGAAAACCTGAACCTGACTGGCTTAGACCTGGGAAGTGCATACAACCCAGGGCCCACCTTAGACAGTTCGCCTGCAGAGCAACCTGGAGCCTGAGCAGTGCAGACCAGGAAAGCACACACGCCGTGAGCGGGGGCAAACCTAGTGTGGCCCAGACACTGCAAGCATGCCCCACACACACCAGTGATATTCGTTTGCAGTGTTCCTCCCTCCCACAGCACGACTGAACAAGTGAGTCTAAATAAGTGACCACCTTCGCCCCCATGTGTCAGGGCAGAAATTAGACACTGAAGAGACTTGAAAACAGAGGAAGCCAAAATAAACAAAGAAGAGGGAACCACTTTGGAAGTGACAGGTGCAACAGATTAAAACCCTGTAGTAAGCATTGGCTACATTGGAAGGGACCTATAGTCCTTGAGAAGAAGTATAAGCTGGAACAAGGAACTATCTGAAACTGAACTGACACCACACTGCCCTCAACAGCTCCAGAGAAATTCTTAGATATATTTTACTATTATCATTTTTTAATTTTTTAAAGTTCTTTATTACTCCTGTAATTTTCATTTTTAAAACCTACTATTACCTTGCAAAAAAAAGACTCTATTTTTAAAGCAAATTTCATTTTTTTTATAACTTTTGCAATTTTGGTTTTTTTTTTTTAATACTGTATTTTTGAGAGTCTAACCTCTACTCTAGATTTTTAATCTTTGCTTTTTGGTATTTGTTATCAATTCTGTACCTTTAAGAATCCAATCTTCAGTACCCATTTTTACTTAGGAGTGTGATTACTGGCTTGATTGCTCTCTTCCCTTTTGACTCTCCTTTTTCTCCCCCTGGTCACCTCCATCTCCTCCCTCCCCCTTCTCTTCTCTACCCAACTCTGTGAATCTCCTTGGGTATTCTGGG